TTAAAGCAAAAGCTGTGATTCTTAATCACATGGGTGACACTGGCACTCACTACTACTCCTTTGCTTCTAGGAGGGCAGGACCTTGGACAGCAGTCAGCAAACCACAGGCCCATCCCCCATGGCTTGGGTCTGCAGCAGGTGGCTAGAAACCTTTGAAAGACCTGTATCACCCCTTAAGTATAAAAACCGTGATTTCCTTCCTCCCTCATTCTTTAAGCACATCACACTAAACACTTAATGATTTTTTTCCCTATATGTTTGCATCTGCTTATTAGAAAATAATTTTACATTTCTAAAGAATTTGTAAGAATAGTACAAGGACTTGCAAACCTAGACTATCTGTTAATTATATTTTGAGATCACTGTTTTCTGCTGTAAGGTTTTATTCCTCCTCATTCTCACCATTTCTTACTGAAGAAACAGTGATAACCAGAAATTTATTTAAAAATAGAATTTGTATCTTTTTGTTGTGGCTAGTGTCTTTCCTAATTGCTTACTGGGGCAACATTGCCTTTGAGGTCAACCATCTGAAATAATGTTCCCATAAACCACAAAAGAACATCAGAAACATGTGTATGTCCAAATCATATCTTTTAGGCACACACACACACACACACACACACACACACGAGTCATCTGTCAGACGCGCTGACTTTCCACTCAGAAAAGACAGACACCGTGGCCCTTGGTTTTTTGCCAATAAGTGGCAGGTGAGGACATAGAAGGAACATCACTGGATGGAAGTCTGTACCCACTATAGAAAAAAGTGAGAAGAAATTGTGTCTGGATATGAGGTTTCATATTTTTGGCTCTATACATTCAAGGTTTACAGGTGGGATATCTTGGGGGTACTTTAACCTAAATTCTTTCACATCTACTATCTTACATTTTATTTGAAAGCACAAACTTCTTGTAAAAATAGGAAAGTAATGAAAACTGAAATTGTTACACTAGGAGAGAGGAGAGGCTATGCCATCCCTGAACTTTAATGATCTTATCTACAAAACAAGGCAGTTGTGCAACTCTAAGGAAGTTCCTGGCTCTGGAATTGTTATGACAATCTACTAGTTGAAAAGACCTGTAAACTTACAGCCACACCATTAACAAAAGCAGCATATGAAGGTGGGAGTCTGAAGTCTGGCTGTCCCCAAACTGTGCTGGACGTGTTGGAGCTGTAGATCTGGAACAGAAGAATAGCCATTGGGAATACAGAATGAGCAGGATATACACAGTGAGTCTTCCAAGAGTGTTTCTCTACATTTGGAGATATATTTATGGTCCTTATTTAATCCTTCAGAGCCTTATTCATTAAAATTCTTCCTTACAGGATATAGAACCTTACCCATGGTAGGAAGAGAAGATGGTGTTCTAATCCCTACAGTGCTGCAGGTAAATGAATTTGAATTCACTATCATTTCCTTGGCATAAATCCTGGGAGAGGAACACTTGCTGCCTAACCCAGGGATATTCTGTGGAGAGTGCATGCTGCATCTCCCACATCATGCCCCTCTCTGCTCAGAGCTTTCCACTGGGTTCTCATTCATATAATACATTTTTTCTCTTTTTTTGTGGTATTAGTATGAACCCAGGATTTCATACTAAGCTACTTCTTTTAATTTTTTTAAGCCTTAAGTCAGGGTCTTACTAAGTTGCTAAGTCGTCCAGACTTGTGATCCTCCTGCCTCAGTTTCACAGAGTGCTGGAATTATAGGCCTGTCCTACATGCCTAGCTACAGAGAATTTTAAAATCTTTATATTAACAAATGGTCTGACATTTTTGCTTCCAAGATTTGGATTAAAATGTGCTTTAGTCATAATAATACTAAGTTGTGGTATTTTACCAGTGAGTGATTTTAATATAGTGACAGTAAAAATATGAATGAATTTCAGAAATCAGATAATGAAGCTGAGAGAATTATAAAAGTACACAGGACAGAGTTGTACAAACAAAACACTAACTACATAACTAAGTATAGAGTAATGAGAACACAGATGCATACTTCCAGGTCTAGCCCAGCATATATAT